GGGGCCGGGCGCTGCGCGGGCGCGATCCGGATTCTCGCGGCCCGTGTGAACGCACGCGGCCCCCCGCGGGAGACACGAGGGCGCCCCTGCTCCGCACGCGCCTCCTCTGGACGCTTTCCAGAAGCATTTGGATGCTTCTCTTGCTCGGAGCCTCTGGCCCCAGCTGACTCGGGCAGCGCCCGAGGTCCCTGCCAGCCCTCATGTCTGTGAAGTCTGTGAACCCCCCGCGGCTGTCACCCGGCCCCGCAGTGAGTAGCAGGGCCCTGGGCTGGGGAAACCCGGCCAGGGCACAGGGGGAGTTGCCGGGTTTCCCCAGCCCAGGAGATGCCCCAGGGCCCTGCTTCTCAGCCAGGGGCACCCACGGGCATGAGGGGCACAGCCTGGGCCTCGCAGCGCCCCACAGAGATTCAGACCTGGTGCCCTCTCCCTGCCAGCCCCCGTGTTCCCCCCCGGGCTCCCATCGGCCTCCCTTAGTTGGGAGGCCACTGGGGACACAACCAACAAGAAGGTCAAAGGCTCAGAACAAGTGCTACAAGGGGAGCCGTGGAGCAGAGCGTGCTGGACAGCGCCCACTGGCCCTCGAATAGGTCCAAGGAGCCCATGGACATTGCTGTGTGACACAGGCCTGTTTGATACACATCGGGAACATGGGCTGTTGCCTGCCAAGAAAAGCTGAATGCCCTCCTTAATTTTGTGGGGGGGCACTAAATGCATATCAAGTAATTATGGGAGACAACTAAAGAAGAAAATAGATAGCAAGGGTCAAAGGTTCAAAACGATGGCATCAAGGGGGGGGGGACACAGAGCAGAGAGCACTGGTCAGTGCCTGCTGGCCCTCGAATGCCTCCAAGGAACCCATGAACACTACCATGTGACACAGGACTTTTAACACGTCAGGGAAAATCACAGACCAGGGTCCACCAAGGAAACGATAAGCCCCTTTAGCACTAGGGGCCAATAATGATGTGTTATAGATCACTTGGGACAAATAATGAAAACAGGGACAGGAGTGGTGGTCAAAGGGTAACAACTAGTGTGTCAAGGGGGGGGGCACTGAGCAGAGCAGTGGACAGCACACACTGGCCCTCAAACACATCCCAGGAGCCCATGGATACTGCCGCATGACACAGGCCTATCTGTCAGTCTTTAATTATGTGAACCCAGCCCACCAAGTTTCTCATTGGCCTCCTTCAGGCAGGGAGGCTACAGGAAAAGGAGACGACAGATTTCTTGGGACAAATAATAAAAAAACGGGGATGGGAGTACTGGTCAGAGGTTCAAAACGAGTGCCAAGTGGGGATACGGAGCAGAGCATACTGGGCAGCACCCACTGACCCTTGAACACATCCAAGGAGCCCGTGGACACTATCGTGTGACACAGGAGACTGAGCAAGATGGACCCATGATCTGACTCAGTAAACAGCAGTTCTAATGGGGATGCCTTGAGATCCTTTCACGGGTGCCACAGATGCCACACAGTGTTAGCACTGTTAGGTGGACAGACACGACGCACAAGCTACAACCAGAGATTTCACACAGGAACCCATAGCGTTAAAACTGTTCTGCCCTGCTGGGGCCTTCCTGAGTTCTTTGCAATGGAAGAATTGCTCTAGTACAAGGGCTGCTAATGATCCAGCCTGCAGGCTGACCCCATGCCATTTTTCTGGTCTGTGAGGCCAAAACTGAGTACCACTACTCTAGTATTTCTTTGTAGTCAAAAAATGAATGAAAACTAAGAGCTGGCATTTTCTGAGGGGAGCCTACAGTCTAACAAGAGGTGCCTTGTGTCTAAAAAAGTTGCAAACAAAGGATAATGCAGGGCTCATCCAACCTTGCCCCCCCAGTCCCCTTTTGCAAGTTCAGTGCATGTCCCAGGACAACCAGGGGTAGGAAAAGGACACAATGACAGGCAAGGAGAGATTGTGGCAGGACCAATGAAACAAGCACAGACCCTGATCTCAGGCACATTGAGGGGTTGGCCTGGAAAGGAGAAGAGAGAACTTTAAACGGCACTTTCAGGGCTGCTGTTGCCAGCACCATCTTCTGAAGCAGGGTCCGGGTAGGCAAACAGCTGGGGCTGGGGCTGGGGCTGAGCCAGGTAAGACTGGGAATTAGCAGGCTGCATTTTGCACCATTGCAATGCATTAACAAGGCATAACTACAACTCATACAAAGATGCCTGTAGGAGTGCAGTGACTGGGAATGCAATGCAAAGTTTAGGGTAGTAGGCTAAGCTTCCCACTGTTGGCTTGACGTTCAGGGAAGTCAAGCACTTTCCCCCTCCAGGCTGTGGAAAAACAGGATGGCCATTTTGGGTATTGGGTCTAGCCAAATCTCTCTGAGATTTCATGTCATCAAATAGCCGGGCCCGTGGAAGAGCCTGTCTGAACTGACCCCTGTGATCCAGAACAAGTGACTTTGTGCCTGCAGGTTTCCCAGAGGCCAGGGCATGGGAATAAATGTGTTGAGCACAAGACAGAGACCCTGAGTCACCGAGATGGAGAAGTGCTTCTGGGCAACAAGGTTTGAGCAGCATCCTAGCTGGGCTTGGCCAGGTGTGGCTGTTGGCCACTTTTGTTCGAGGCTTGCTATCTCGGCCTCCATCTTCCAGGGCTAATGCATGCAGACCGGCCTTTGTAACACCCTGTGCTCAAAGCCAGGATGCACACAGCTTGCACTAACAACAGGTTTGGGAAGCACCATCATTTGCACCTCAGCACCACACACTGGGCAGGGTTTCCTGGCTCCAGGTCCATGTAATGAACCTGCTTAGCATGAGGAATGCAAATGAAGGGGCATGACCTTCTTCCTGTCACCCTGCTCCCTAGGGGCCCGATCAGAGCGAGCTGGGGAAACATGAAGCGACTGTTCCCAAGGGAATTCTACACGGAGGAAAATGGGATGGAGAGAGCCTGCAACTTCAACTCAGGTAAACTGCACAGGAAACCAGGGGAGCAGAGTGCAGGTTGGGTGAAACCACACAAGTAGGCACTAAAGAAAAAGGCTTGGTGCTGCCTCTAGAAACCTCCAAAACGGGTAATGAAGGGTGCAAACCCAGGCTCCCAGTGTCAGCCACAGGCTCACCAGTAGGTGAGTGGAGATGGAAAGTGAGGGAGAAACAGGATCCTGGGGAGCCCATCCTACCGTCATGTGCCTTTTATCTTTGGTGCGGAGAGCAGGTCACCTGAGCCCCGGATCACATTTCGCATCCCAGCAGACAGATGCTAAAGGGGAGCAGCCAAACAAGGGAGATAAGGCTTTGGCTTCAGGTGACAACTCCAAGGCTTTGGCAGCAGCGTCCAAGTTCCTGTGAACAGTGCCATGCCATGCTCTGGTGCTTTCCACCCAGGGCTTGTTTTACTGAGAAATGCAAGTGCCCTCCCCCCTACTTCCCTGCTGGGCAGCAATGGTATGGAGAGCAAGGAGGCAGAGGAAGGGAAGAGCAGTTTTAAGAAGGCTCAAAAACCCAGTGAGGGGAATGTGGGCATGGAGAGGCATCCACACAGGAGCTGCAGGAGGGGCCCTGCCCTGTCACACAAGCAGCTATTCTCTGCAATCAGGTGTCCTGCACAAGTGAAAGGGATGCCTTGCAAACAGGAACTCTGGTTTCTTACATGTGTCTGCATAGCTGAGCAGGAATAAGGCCCTTTGGCTTGCAGGGTAGGTGAGCAGAACAGGCCGAGTGTCCAAGCACTCCAGAAACACAGCCAGCAGCCAAACTGGGATGGTGCCTGGACAGCCAGCTAAGTCTTCTCTGTCTCTAAACAGC